GAAGACAGGGGAGGGATAAGAGAACAACCAAAGGACTCATATGCATGCGTATTAGCATAACCAAAGGACACAACATTACCAAGGAGGCTGTGGGGGTTTGTCCTAGGGGGTGGGAGTGGCAGGGGGGCAGGGGGAAGAGGAAACATATGGAATACTTTAAACAATAAAAGAAATAAAAAATTTATAAACCAGTCTCTGCCAAGGAACTTTTGCCGGAATAAACAAAGGAAGTACGGAGTTTCCTCATTTAATAAAAGGCCCACCCACTCCAGGACCCCAAATTGCAGCTTACACCTCACCCACAGCTGTGGCCTCAAACTCACCCTCTACCACAGCCATGGCTCAGTCACTGGCTCTGAGCCTCCTTTTCCTGGTCCTGGCCTTCTGCATCCCCTGGACCCAAGGTACAAGGAGGGAGCTGCCTAGGATGGGGAAAGGGGCAATGCATGGGTATTAGCATAATCATTGGACACAACATAACCAATAAAGCTGTGGGGGCTTGTCCTAGGGGGTGGGAGTGGCGGTGGGAGGAGGGATAAAGGAGTCATATGTAATACAATAAAGATAAATAAATAAATAATTTATGAGCCAGTCTCTGCCAAGGACTTTTGCCAAAGAGGATGAGGAGGTCAGATAAACAAGGGATGTACGGCATTTAATAAAAGGCCCACCCACTCCAGGACCCCAAATTGCAGCTTACACCTCACCCACAGCTGTGGCCTCAAACTCACCCTCTACCACAGCCATGGCTCAGTCACTGGCTCTGAGATTGATGAAGCGTCTGGACACATCACCAGCCCGATGGACACGAGTCCAACGCAGTAAGAAGAACAAGTTTGGCAAGAAGAGAAAGAGCTCCAAAGGCTGTATGTAAGAGGTAAGGAAGCTGAAGGGACTGGGGCGGGAAGTGAAGAAAAGCCTCTGTCCATCCTTCAAGCCCCTCTTCTCCCTTTCCAGGACTGAAGAGCCGCAGACCCCCTCAAAAGCCATAGCCCAGTGACCAGACTGGAGCCCAGGGGGCCCCCATCAGCCGCCCCAGGGTTCGGAGGCCCTCTTCCAGGGGCAAGAAGCGGGCTAGAAGACAGGGAGGACTCAGGGGCCCCAGAGCAGTCCTTCTACCCCCATGCTGGCCTTGCCTCATCCCTTCTCCTGCTGCAACTATCCCTTCCGTATTTCTAGCCCCCGCCGCATGGCTGAGCTGCCAGGCCCAGAGAGGCAGAGGAGGGAGTGTGAGAGGAGGCAGCAGGACTGTCCCCTCTGAAGAAAGGTCACCCAGGACCCTGGACCTGACCCCCTGCTCCCCACTGCACCCCACCTCTTCCTTGTAAATATCATTTATACGTAACTGAATAAACGGCTATTCTGGCTTCCCACCCACGTATCTGTTCCTGCACGTTTGTGTCCCTGGGGAAGCCATTGTCACTAAGGGTTGTGGAGGGGTGTGGGGGGGTCAGTAGCTCAGACTGGTGAATTGTACGTTCTCACCACCCAGGA